GGGGGGGGGGCGGCAACGCCGACGACAACAGTAGCAATGGTCACGGCAACTACGACGGCGAGGGCGACTCCGTCGGCGGCGGCGGCTGAGGCGGCGGCGGCTGAGGCGGCGGCGGCGGCTGAGCCGGGGGCGGCGGCGGCAGTACCTGGAGAAACGACCGGGAGCCGTGGCGCGGAACCGGCAGGAACGGCAGCGGCGGCGGCGGCGGCGATGACGGTGGCGGTGGCGGCGCCGCCCGTTGAGGCGAGGGACGCGGCCGGGGGGGCGACGGCGGTTGCGGCGAGCTCTTCGATGTTGGCTTCGACGGGGAGCTGGTCCGAGGCGCCGGACGACCTGGCGCTGACCAAGAAGTTCCGGGTCTCTCTCATGTTCTACACCAAGGTGTGTGCGCGGGTGTGTGACCGCGGCTCGTAATGAACAAAAGTGTCTCCGTATGCATAAGCCATGCTTTTTTACCCAAAGGGGAGTTATTACTAGTTCGGGGTTGGCGTAAGCAACGCTGGATCTCAATCTGTCGGTTTGCCTGGGCCTGGGCCGACATTGCTATGGAGACAATAAAAAGCCCAAACCTAAGATGATAGCCACTCATTGCCATGACCTTTTACATTTCGCAATCCCCTCCCCCCTCCCCCGTCATTTTCCTTTCTTCGTTTCACGCCCCACTCCCATCCCGTTCCTTCCGGGATCTCCCCTCCCCCAACCCTCCTGTTCTCGTTTCGCAGGAGCTCATGGCCAACGCGAGGCAGTACGGGGAGGCCGACAAGCTAGCTCTGTACGGGCTGTTCAAGCAGGCCAAGTGGGGCGATTGCCCCGACGGGCTGGTAACGGCGCAGCGGGGGAATCCCGTCGGGTCTGTCAAGGTCCGCGCCTGGGTGACCAATCGCGGGAAGCCTACCGCTCAGGCCATGCAGGAGTTCATCGTCGTTCTCGGGAGGGTGAGAAATAGCGCAAGATAACACACCCCCTGGGGTGAGAAATAGCGCAAGGTAACACACCCCCTGGACCAATTTTCAAAGCTCGATTGCGCCACGACGAAGAACATGCATAAGCGAAACGATACATTTTCGGGAAAGCTCTCGACAAGGCGGCTTCAACGATGCCGTTTTCGGCGCTGTGACTCGCTCTTCGGTCGAGAAAATCGAGCAGCTTTGAAAATCGGTCCAGGGGTGTGTGTTATCTTGTGTCGCATACGGGATGCATGCCAATATTGCTGTAACATGTAGGTAGGTTGCGTAGGATGCCGCGCCCACGCACCCCGTGGACCGATCTTCAAAGCTCGAGTGCAGAACCAGTTTGAGGACCGAGGCGTGTGGCCCAAGAGTGTGGTGTTTCACCATCGCCATATGTTTGAACTGCGTACTTGCTGTAGCAGTGTGTGCCTATTTTGGCTACTTTTTCAAGGTTGCCTTGAGTTGCACGTGATAACTTTGTGTGCAGCTGTCAATCAATCGATTGCTCAATCGATTGTCGCGGCTGTGGTGTGTTGTGCATTGCGATCGATCATGATGCGGTTCAGGAAAAATACATGGAAGCATCTACTGTATACCCTTTTTTTGTTCCGACCTCTATTGAATCCCTGTTTCTCCTCCCGCGCGGACCGACGCTGTGTCGTCCGCGGCTGCTGTCGATCCTTTTTTTTTTTTTTCCCTTTCCCGGCTGCTGGTACTGGTGCTGCTGTTCCTCAGGTCTCTCCGGGATGGGAGTCCAGGGTGGTCATCTCCGGCAACAGCGACACCAGCAGCAACACCACCACCACCCCGTCGGGCCCGGCCCCCCCCTTGCTCAACACCCCCGGCGGTGGCGCAGGGGGCCACAGAACGCCCGGGCGTGGCCCCGTCGCATCACTATCGCCCTCCTGCCCCCCCCCCGGCTCCGGTGGCTCCGGTGGCGGCGGCGGCGGCGGCGGCGGCGGCGGCGGCGGCGGCGGGGGCCATTTCGCCCGCAGGGGTAACGCCGCCTCCTCAGTGATGTCGTCTCCTGACGGGCTCCCCACCCTTGTCGGCGGGGGGGGGCGGGGGGAAACCAAGGGGGGGGGAAGGAATGACCCCCCCCCCCCGTGAAGGGGAGAGGGGGGCGGGGGCCTCCCCGCCGCGTCGCCCGGAGGGGCGGAAAGGGATCACCTTGCCCCCCCTTTACCGCCCCCCCCCCTGTAAAGAGCCCCCCCGTCGGGGGGGGAATTTGG